CTGGTTTGACTGTTGCAATCCATCATGGGTGATTAGAAACTCTTACTTCAACGGCAAAGATTATCTTCAAGTCATTTAAATTTTTTGGCAGTTATGCCACCAAGCTATGCACTTTTGGCATGAACATGTAGTTGCTTAACGAAATTATGTGCGTTAAGTAGTTTTCATGGTTTTCAAATTCACATCAATGATGATGCAATTGATTGGCATCCCTTCCTTATATATATCATCATCGCCACCATCATGAAACTGGTCAAGGGTTACTATTTTGGCTAAAACTAACATTTAGCCTTTCACCTTACAAAATTAGTAGGTTTTAACCCCTAATCTTATAATATGACACTTTTAGCTTTTTATCTTACAAAGTTTGTAGGTTTTAACCCCTCACCTTACCAAGTTGGTAGATTTTAACTTCTCACCTTATATTATGATACTTTTAACCCCTTATCTGTACGAATTGAAGAAAATAATCCTTATTTAACATCAGGTTTTAATGTTTTATTAGTTCTGTTAGCTGACTATCAGTTCTGTTAGTTGACTGCCAGTACTGTTAACTGACTGTCAGTACTATTAACTGACTGTCAGTTTTATTAGCTAACTGTTAGTTCTGTTAGTTGACTGTTAACATCCGTTAATGAAACTAACAAATAAAATTGAATTTAAATTTCATATTTTTTATAATGGAATGCTAATAGATGTTAACAGTCAACTAATAGAATTAATAGAATGTTATAACTTGATGTTAGGTGAGGATTATTTTCTTTAATTCGTATCGATGATGGGCTAAAAATATCATAATATACGGTAAATGGTTAAAACTTATCAATTTTGTAAGGTGAAGGGCTAAAACTTATCAATTTTATAAGATAAAGGGCTAAAACTGTTATGTGATAAAATGAGGAGTTAAAACCTACCAATTTTGTAAAGTAAGGGGCTAAATGTTGGTTTTTGCCTACTATTTCGGGTATTGTCAGGTTTTTTTTTGGTTGTGTTATTTTGGCAAAACCATAAGTTAAGCCCCTAAACTAACCCCAGAATCGCTATTAAACCCCCAGACTTTAATTGAAGCATATAAGCCCCTAAACTCTGCAATTGAAGCAATTTAGCCCTTACTCTCACAGCCAACTTAACAGCTGTTAATTGCCATTAACTGCGGTTTAGGGAACTGCCTCGTGCGGCGAAATTGGTCATCTCACTCCGACGTGGCAAGGGACTTGACATTTGATTTGTCCACTTGGATGGAAAAAAAAAATTTATTTAGGAATAATTTTTTTATATTATTTTTTATACAAGCTTATATCATTTAAATAATTAATTTTTTTAGTCATAAATTTGT